CATGTTAATGAACTCATCGCACACGATAGAACAGAAGACCAACTTTTGGTCAAAATGGACGTTAGGCAGCGGCGCTGTTCGAAACAGAGGCACATTTTTTGCTTCTGCCGGACGGTGGCCGATGAATTTTTGCTCCATTTGTAGACTGGATATAGTTTCGTCGCCCAGCTTCTGAGTAGAATGCATGGCGTGACACTGTGAGCTGCGGATTGCATTTGGAATGGTTTTTTTTCGACTGTGACCAACGTGTTGGTGTGTATTGTAGATTCAGAAAATGGCGCGATGCCTGTCGTGCAGTGTTTTGGTGCCCGTATGTGATTAAAATTAATCGAGTGGGCTACTGCTGATTTTTTGGCGACTTCTGCTACCATCAATGATGAACTGCAATTCTAATACTGTGATAAACATTCTGTGTGTTTTTCGTTGGCACAGGAGCAGAGCAAAGATGGGGTGACCCGTTGGCTATGAAGCTGAAACTAAGACTACCAGACTACCAGAACAGAAGAGAGGAATAGAGTGTGAGCCCTATGTGACATCTAATGGCACAACAGGACCATGAACCAATAGTCTGACAGATAGTGGCCTGTAGATGTGGAAAGTGTTGGACGTTCACATCTATATGTGTGCGTGCGTGCGTGCGTGCGTGCGTGCCGCACATAATGGAGATACTCGTGTGCAGGCCAAGTTATCTGCACGACCGGCTCCAACTGTAATTAAAAGCTAAAGTCGGATGTGGTTATCTGTTGCCGACAATGGCGTTTAAAAACCTTGTACAAACCAAATCTTTAACAAATTACATTGGCAAATCGAAATGTAAACGACAATATGGCAAGAAACCTACAGTCGTATTGAACAAGAAGAACAAAGAGGCGGCCTAAGTCGGTAGTCAATAAATATAATCCAACACGTTGAGACCAAACATTGCCGGATTTAAGGGGCATTGAGTTAACTAGAGCATGACAGTGTTAGTAAATTCGGCAGAAAAGTGCAGACCAGAATTATTCGGTTCAGAGAACAGGACACGGCAAGCGCATAACACGTATTCCACATTTGCGTTTTACTGACTCTGTCACTTAAATATGCGCAGCAGTCAAGCAGTTATCCTTCCTCAGTTATAAAGCGCCAGCACCCCACTGGCATATCCCGATGGTTTATATGATTGGAGAGGGACAGGGAAGTTCTGCAACATAGTTCCCTTTGGAGGAGAAATATCCGGGCAAGTGTTTGCTGGTTTTAGCTAAGATTACATAATTTAACCGTTTCCCTGGCAACTGGCTATAGTTGTCATGATCGTTCCAAAGATAGACGATGTCCTTGTCGTCTCTGACAGACCGCTGCCACCTCAACCCTTTGTATCTCAATGATAACGATCAGTGTAACTACTTCTGTCTGGTACCACTTCAACCCTTTGTATCTCAATGAAAACCATCAGTGTAACTACTTCTGTCTGGTGCCACTTCAACCCTTTGTATCTCAATGATAACCATCAGTGTAACTACTTCTGTCTGGTGCCACTTCAACCCTTTGTATCTCAATGATAACCATCAGTGTAACTACTTCTGTCTGGTGCCACTTCAACCCTTTGTATCTCAATGTCAACGATCAGTGTAACTACTTCTGTCTGGTGCCACTTCAACCCTTTGTACCTCAATGAAAACCATCAGTGTAACTACTTCTGTCTGGTGCCACTTCAACTCTTTGTATCTCAATGAAAACCATCAGTGTAACTACTTCTGTCTGGTGTTGAGCCGCTTGAAGCCTTAGCATTTATAGCCTTATCAGCTGAGAGGCCAGGAACCAACAGTCTGCATACAGATAGACCAGATCTTTAAAATGTATGAGCACTTTAAACACAAGTAGGAAAGTGAACTAAGGGAAAGAGCTGGAAGAGACCAAGTTTTTTTCAAGCAGACCAAAGTTGTACAATCATATACAATCTTTATATATATATCTACACATACAATCACACACACTCACACACACACCCACCCACACACTCACCCACCCACACACTCACCCACCCACACACAGAGGTAGCTAAAGATTTGATTTAGAAATGTTGTTCAGCAGTCTCAGTTTATTGCCCCTGTGTGTGTGTGTGTGTGTGTGTGTGTGTGTGTGTTTGTGTGTGTGTGTGTGTGTGTGTGTGTGTGCTAACATCATGGATGATACTACAGAATTCAATTTAATGTACATTAAATAATTCACATTAATGTTTAAAAGAAGAAGTAAAATAAAATGCTACGATAAAGACATGTTCATACAGAGATATGTAGCAGTGATGTTGACATCAGTGGCCCATCCGACATATGAGGCTACATTCATACAGAGATGTGTTGCAGTGATGTTGACATCACTGGCACATCCGACATATAAGGCTACATTCATACAGAGATATGTAGCAGTGATGTTGACATCAGTGGCACATCTAACATATGAGGCTACATTCATACAGAGATGTGTTGCAGTGATGTTGACATCACTGGCACATCCGACATATTTGGCTACATTCATACAGAGATGTGTTGCACTGATGTTGACATCAGTGGCACATCCAACATATGAGGCTATATTCATACAGAGATGTGTAGCAGTGATGTTGGCATCACTTGCACATCCGACATATAAGGCTACATTCATACAGAGATCTGTTGCAGTGATGTTGACATCACTGGCACATCCGACATATAAGGCCACATTCATACAGAGATGTGTAGCAGTGATGTTGACATAACTGGCACATCTGACATATGAGGCTACATTCATACAGAGATGTGTAGCTGTGATGTTGACATCAGTGGCACATCCAACATATGAGGCTACATTCATACAGAGATATGTAGCAGTGATAATGACATCAGTGGCACATCTGACTTATGAGGCTACATTCACACAGACATGTGTAGCTGTGATGTTGACATCAGTGGCATTTCCAACATATGTGGCTACATTCATACAGAGATGTGTAGCAGTGATGTTGACGTCACTGGCACATCCAACATAAAAGGGTAAATTCATACAGAGATGTGTAGCAGTGATGTTGACTTCACTGGCACATCTGACATATGAGGCTACATATGTATAGACCAACTGGCACATGATTGTCATTTGGTCAAAATCCTCCTGACCACTTTTATTTCCCAGACTACATCCTGGTATCTAGCTGAGTCTGGTTGACCTGGCAGATAAGGGTCTTTTTTTTTTAAATCCGCAAAAAGACAAAAAGATATTAGCGAAGCAGAAATTAAAATTGAAAAAAAAAGAGGAAAAGTACATAACATGTGCAAAAGGCAAAACAACTGGTCACACTAGAGCAACAATAACAATAGGTCACCAGGTAGTAACAACAACAATTGGTCACACCGTAGTAACATCAACAATTGGTCACACCGTAGTAACAACAACATTTGGTCACACCGTAGTAACAACAACAATTGGTCACACCGTAGTAACAACAACAATTGGTCACACCGTAGTAACAACAACAATTGGTCACACTGTAGTAATAACAACAGTTGGTCACACTGTAGTAACAACAACAATTGGTCACACTGTAGTAACAACAACAATTGGTCACACCGTAGTAACAACAACAATTGGTCACACCGTAGTAACAACAACAATTGGTCACACCGTAGTAACAACAACAATTGGTCACACTGTAGTAACAACAACAATTGGTCACACTGTAGTAACAACAACAATTGGTCATACCGTAGTAGCAACAACAATTGGTCACACTGTAGTAACAACAACAATTGGTCACGCTGTAGTAACAACAACAATTGGTCACGCTGTAGTAACAACAACAATTGGTCACGCTGTAGTAACAACAACAATTGGTCACGCTGTAGTAACAACAACAATTGGTCACACTGTAGTAACAACAACAATTGGTCACGCTGTAGTAACAACAACAATTGGTCACGCTGTAGTAACAACAACAATTGGTCACGCTGTAGTAACAACAACAATTGGTCACGCTGTAGTAACAACAATTGGTCACACTGTAGTAACAACAACAATTGGTCATGCTGTAGTAACAACAACAATTGGTCACACTGTAGCAAAAGTAACAATATGTTCTCTGGATGACTGCAGCCTGTAGTTGAATTTTCTAATCTGACTTAGAAAGTTTTGGTATTTTCTAAAAGCAAAGATAATTTTGAAGCACAGCCCAATGGGATATCAAGTGTAAGGCTTTGACATATTTGAGACTACAAGATATGATGTCCGGTGAACAATTCCATGCCTTGACATCTTTCCATCCCAAACAGGAATTAGTACTGTTTGTTTGAAACTGGGCCAGAAGAAAATCTTGGCACTTTCTGGGATCGCACCCAGATCACTAACACAGTAGGCAGATTCACAAACCACTACTCCACTCAGTTTCCATATTTTGACAATCCTGAGCTCTCAGGGAAGAGACCCGGGTTCAATCCTCGGTAAGGGATGACAAATGTTTGTTTCTGTCAAAAGCAAAATACAAATAATAAACTGCAAAGATCTTGATAACTGCACTGGCCAAGCTGCCTTACATTCTCAGACTTTTTTACAAGCTGCCATTTATGATCGTTGTATCTCCAGATCCAAGCATATCTTTGGGGATCACTGAGGTCAAGTGGTCAAGATGTTTACCTCTGGCTCTAAACGTTGCAGGTTCATATCACAGTCGTGTTATTCAGTTCATGAGTGTAGTTTTTCTGAGATCATTTGAGATCATCACTAAAGCTGCAGAGTTTTTGCATTGTGTGATCCTGTTGGCAGCAGGTTAGCTGTTCTCCAGAGAGAGAGAGAATACGAGCCATCTGGGATAACACCTGATTCACAAAGTTGATTATCCCAACTGTTAGTTTAACATTAACTTATATCTTTTCCATTTCAATTCTGCACAACTATTTCCTGTAGCTGACAACAGCTGTCTAGTTTGATACTGTCAGAAGATATCTTGGCTGGTTCATTGTCAGACGCAACTGGAGAAAACTGTGCAACACTTGATTTCACCTCTGTGATTTTACTCTCCATCTCAGAACTAAATAACAGGCACCTCGAAGAACCACAAAAAATGCACAAAGAACAATAAAGTCAATGTAAAACTTGGCATTTTCCACATCCAGTTTTTCCAGAACATCGGTTCCTTGTTGGAAAATACAGAAGTTCTCATCACAGTGCAAGTTTCCTCGGTCAAGGCCGTAGATGGCTTGTAAAGTACCCTCAAAGGCATACCTGTCCGGGAGAATAGTTAATGTGAGACAATAATGAATTAGAGTGAATCAATAATGAGAAACAAAATAACTAATATGAGAAGTAATTAGTGAGATGGAATAAATAAACAAGAAAAAAAAATAGGTAATATAAGAGAATAATTAATGCGCCTGCGAAGTTAAGGGAGAGAATAACCAAGGAGAGAGAATAAATAAAGGTAGATAATAATGTAATAAATGGAGGAGAGTCATTGATGAGACAGAATGTATGGCTGGAAAGAATCCTTAATATGAGAGAATTTTACAGGTAAGAATAAATAATTAGGGAGATTTTGATTTTTGTAAAAAATGAAAAATCTAACATAACCCACCCACATTGGACAGCAGGTGACTTTATAACGTTTTTATTGTGCCCCAGCCCAACTGTCTCAATCAAATACACACTTGTTTATGGAAACATAAAACAATACAATCCACAATAGGAAAATATTATTCAGCATAATGAAATCTCCCGTGTGATGTGCATGTGGTGCTCACCTGATGTTTTCAGAGACTATTTGGGCCCTTGATGAGTGATGTATGAGTGATGTGTGGGTGATGTATGAGTGATTTATGAGTAAAGTATGAAGGAAGTATGAGAGATGTATAAGGGAAGTATGAGTGATGTATGAGGCAGTTATGAGAGATGTATGAGGGAAGTATGAGTGATTTATGAGTGATGTAGCACATTTGGTACATTTAATTGAAAGTTTTCATCATCAGGGCTGGAGAATTGGCTAGAGAAAAAGAAACTGTCAGGAGTGCCGTGAAGAGAGTGACATTGTTTATAGCACCTGTTGATTCACAATGATGATATCATGAACAACAAGCAGTTGTCAGAGCAGCTGAAGAAACATCAGACTGGTTTTAGGTGTAAAAAGGAGGGCGGCAGTGGTGCATTTTCTCACCATACCAATTCAATATATATGCAGAAAACATAATGAGAAATGTCAAAAAATGTTCAGACTTGTAACAGTTATGATCCGAGCGTAGTTGGTGGCAACCCTGTTCTGCTCCGCTATGCTGATGAGACATTTTACTTTTTGAACAATGTAAAGGAAATAGCAAATTTAACCACGTCTGTCCAGAAACAGTCAAGATGAAAACCTGTTTTGAATTTAATGACAGCAAAAATAATGTCCACAGACAAAAACTGGCTGTCACCTAAAAAAATTAACAAAAAATGATAAAGAAATTGAAAATGTTACAAACTTTAAATATGTTGGCTCTATAACAAAAAGCAATGGAGACTGTTCGATTTAAATCAAATGACGAGGATAGTCATAGAAATGTAGAGATTCAACAGCATTAAAAGTGTATCGTTAAGCACCAGCAAAGAGATCCAAGTTCACATACTGAAAGTATGCATCTTCCTTCTAGTAGCATTCACATGTTTGTTGTGGACCATCTCTCAGTCCTTAGGGAAGAAAGTAGGTGCTTCTGAGCTGAACTGCTACAAAAAGATTCTCAGAATACCACGGACAAAGAAGAAACAAAATATTGACATTCTAGAAGATCTGAAAATCAAGGAAACCGGCTAATAAACAGCATCTTGTGTCAGAAGCTGACAGAGTTTGGCTGTATCGAGCACCATGGCGGACTGGGAAAAGATAATAGCATAAGGCATGGTACCAGTAAGGAGGAGCAGGAGCTGACCATCATGAAGATGGACACAGTAAAGAAAACTGATTGGATATGAAAGTACATGACCGAGTTTCTTTGAGGCAGACAATAATGAGAGCGACGTTCTGCAAATGACCTGCTGCATGAGGATGAGAATGATGCATGATGTATGAGTGATGTATGAGTGATACATGAGTGATGTATGGGTGATGTATGAGTGATGTATGAGTGATGTATGGGTGATATATGAGGGATGTATGAGTGATGTATGGGTGATATATGAGTGATGTATGAGTGATGTATGGGTGATGTATGAGTGATGTATGGGTGATGTATGAGTGATGTATGGGTGATGTATGAGTGATGTATGGGTGATATATGAGGCATGTATGAGTGATGTATGGGTGATATATGAGTGATGTATGAGTGATGTATGGGTGATGTATGAGTGATGTATGGGTGATGTATGAGTGATGTATGGGTGATATATGAGTGATGTATGAGTGATATATGGGTGATATATGAGTGATGTATGGGTGATATATGAGTGATGTATGGGTGATATATGAGTGATGTATGAGTGATATATGAGTGATGTATGGGTGATATATGAGTGATGTATGAGTGATATATGAGTGATGTGTGGGTGATGTGTGGGTGATATATGAGTGATGTATGGGTGATATATGAGTGATGTATGAGTGATGTATGGGTGATATATGGGTGATGTATGGGTGATGTATGGGTGATATATGAGTGATGTATGGGTGATATATGAGTGATGTATGAGTGATGTATTGGTGATGTATGGGTGATGTATGAGTGATGTATGGGTGATATATGAGTGATGTATGAGTGATGTATGGGTGATTAATGAGTGATGTATGAGTGATGTATGAGTGATGTATGAGTGATATATGAGTGATGTATGAGTGATATATGGGTGATGTATGGGTGATGTATGAGTGATGTATGAGTGATGTATGAGTGATATATGAGTGATGTATGAGTGATGTATGAGTGATGTATGAGTGATGTATGAGTAATGTATGAGTGATGTATGAGTGATGTATGAGTGATGTATTGGTGATGTATGAGTGATGTATGAGTGATATATGAGTGATGTATGAGTGATGTATGGGTGATGTATGGGTGATGTTTGAGTGATGTATGAGTGATATATGAGTGATGTAGTGGTGATATATGAGTGATGTATGAGTGATGTATGAGTGATGTATGTGTAATCTAGCCAACATCTCACTCTTGACATGCAATAAGATCTTCGAGAGCCCAAGTAAAGTCCCCACTCTCATTGTTGCTCATCTGTACACCAAAGTTTGATGTGCCAAACCCTGCCCTATATTGTCAACTTCAATAATAACCCCCTCCCCTCTAACACACACACACATGCACACACACACACACACACATGCACACACACACACACACACACATGCACGTACATGCACACACACACACACACACACACACATGTGCGCACACGCGCGCGCACACACACAAGTGTGAACAAACAAAAAAGCCACACCATTGCCAAAACGACTCACCTGACATAAGAAATATAGGACACCCACTGCAGGTAGGTGGGGATGGTGTCAAAGTTCACAAAGTAGCCACTGAACAAAAGTACAGGAATAGCTGACACTGGTCCCAGGAAAACAGCAACCTGCAACATTCAACAATAACTGTCATGTTACTGACAGTCAACATTCAACAATAACTGTCATGCCACTGACAGTCAACATTCAACAATAACTGTCATGTCACTGACAGTCAACATTCCTTCACTTCATGGGGCAGGTGGGAAAGGCAGAAAGAAAGAAATTAACAACTAAGCATGAAGTACAGCATACAAATAAACACAAGGGAAAAAAGACACACTGACAGACAGAGCGAATGAGCAGACGTTATTTTAAACTATCACATATTAAGCACGCATCGTACAATCTGTCCTTCCAAGTACTCATCTTTCACAAAGTTATTGTAAAGTATGTTATGTTCTATAACTATATATATATATATATATATATATATATATATATATATATATATATATATATATATATATATATATATATATATATATATATATATATATATATATATATATATATATATATATATATATATATATATATATATATATATATATATATATATATATATATATCATATGAGTAACAAGTAAAACAAACATAAAAGTATAGATGGTAAATGCATACATTCAGATATCACACACGCATACAGACTAGACAAACATACAGGCATACAGGCAGACACAGAGAGACAGAGAGATTGGCAGGTTGTCAAAAAATATAAAGAAACAAAGATCTAGTCTAACTAATTATAGTTGAACCGACTTTGGCATCTGACGGATGACATTGTGGATCATTAACAAATGACAAACACTGTTGCTAAATGACAAATGACAACACTGGTGCACAATGGCAAATAACAACATGGTTTCACAATGACAAATGCCAACACGGTTGCACAATGACAAATGACAACACAGTTGCACAATGACAAATGACAACACTGTTGCAGAATGACAAATCACAACACAGTTGCACAAGGACAAATGACAAATTGTTGCACAATGTCAAATGACAACACTGTTGCACAATGACAAATGGCAACATGGTTGCACAATGACAAATGACACACACATTTGCACAATGACAAATGGCAACACGTTTGCACAATGACAAATGACAACACTGGTGCACAATACCAAATGACAACACTGGTGCACAATGACAAATGACAACACAGTTGCACAATGACAAATGACAACACTGGTGCACAATGACAAATGACAACACTGGTGCACAATGACAAATGACAACACTGGTGCACAATGACAAATGACAACACGGTTGTACAATGAGAAGTAAACACTGACCTGCACAGATGTGGCTGACCCAATCAAGAGCCCCAGACTTTGGGAAACCAGCGAGGTCTGTGTGGACAAAGTGAGAAACATTACAAACCTCACAAAGTCTGTCGGCTGGGCTGTCATCCAGTAGACAATGCTGCCGTAGACCAGGGAGAAGATGATCTGGTGAGCACAAGAAGATCTTGAGGTGACAATTGGATGGAAGACAGTATCAACGGAAATACTGCAGCAAATAAGAGGATACAAAATAAGGGATGGACAAACAGCAAATTGAACAAGAACAAACAATAATTGTGAGACTGTGAACAGGACACTACAGTTTTAGGGCACATCTCAACAGAACAGGTATTGCAGGATGTGCAGCCTGTGTCTGTCGAACACACAGACAGACTGCCCTTAGATTCGCCACGAGCTGAGGGATCTGGCCCTAGGAGAGCCACATTGTGAGATAATCTGTGAGGACTAGCAGTGACCTTAGGCGAGACACAAGGTTTAACATGAATCAAGATTAAGCAGGTTCAGAAAGTGTACACTAGGCTGAGTGAATGTATACTAGGCTGAGTGAATGTATACTAGGCTGAGTGAACGTATACTAGGCTGAGTGAATGTATACTAGGCTGAGTGAATGTACACTAGGCTGAGTGAATGTATACTAGGCTGAGTGAATGTATACTAGGCTGAGTGAATGTATACTAGGCTGAGTGAATGTATACTAGGCTGAGTGAATGTATACTAGGCTGAGTGAATGTAGACTAGGCTGAGTGAGTGTACACTAGGCTGAGTGAATGTACACCAGGCTGAGTGAATGTACATTAGGCTGAGAGAGTGTACACTAGGCTGAGAGAGTGTACACTAGGCTGAGAGAGTGTACACTAGGCTGAGTGAATATACACCAGGCTGAGCGAATGTACATTAGGCTGAGAGAGTGTACACTAGGCTGAGAGAGTGTACACTAGGCTGAGAGAGTGTACACTAGGCTGAGAGAGTGTACACTAGGCTGAGAGAGTGTACACTAGGCTGAGAGAGTGTACACTAGGCTGAGTGAATATACACCAGGCTGAGCGAATGTACATTAGGCTGAGAGAGTGTACACTAGGCTGAGAGAGTGTACATTAGGCTGAGTGAGTGTACACTAGGCTGAGTGAGTGTACACTAGGCTGAGTGAGTGTACATTAGGCTGAGATAGTGTACACTAGGCTGAGTGAGTGTACACAAGGCTAAGTGAGTGTACATTAGGCTGAGAGAGTGTACACTAGGCTGAGTGAGTGTACATTAGGCTGAATGAGTGTACATTAGGCTGAATGAGTGTACATTAGGCTGAGAGATTGTACATTAGGCTGAGTAAGTGTACATTAGGCTGAGAGAGTGTACACTAGGCTGAGTGAGTGTACACTATAGGCTGAGAGAGTGTACGCTATAGGCTCAGAGAGGAACAGTGGGATGGAGATCCATTGAACTCATCTTTTGCTATGGAGATAGCCCCAGATTAATAAACAATTCAAGTAAGTAAAGTAGAAGGTGAGCTTGGCAGATGAAGACAATCCTAGAACCACCTCGAGTTAGACCAGAAGGTGCTTGTGTGAGTACATAGTTGAGACATAAGAGAGAAGTAGACATTTTTACAGCTGTCCTTCAGTGTGGAGAGGCACATCATCAAGATAAATGATTCCATTCAGACATACCTAGAAGGGCAAGGTGTGACAGTGCAACATACCTGTAAGGGCAGGGTGTGACATACCTGGAAGGGCAAGGTGTGTCACACCTGGAAGAGCAAGGTGTTACAGTGTGACATACCTGGAAGGGCAAGGTTTGACATACCTGGAAGGGCAAGGTGTGACATACCTGGAAGGGCAAGGTGTGACATACCTGGAAGGGCAAGGTGAAACATACCTAAAAGGGCAAGGTGTGACATACCTGGAAGGGCAGGGTGTGACATACCTGGAAGGGCAAGGTGTGACACACCTGGAAGAGCAAGGTGTGACATACCTGGAAGAGCAAGGTGTTACAGTGTGACATACCTGGAAGGGCAAGGTTTGACATACCTGGAAGGGCAAGGTGTGACATACCTTGAAGGGCAAGGTGTGACATACCTGGAAGAGCAAGGTGAAACATACCTGAAAGGGCAAGGTGTGACATACCTGGAAGGGCAAGGTGTGACATAAATGGAAGAGCAATGTGTCACATACCTGGAAGGGCAAGGTGTGACATACCTGGAAAAGCAAGGTGTGACATACCAGGAAGAGCAAGGTGTGACATACCTGGAAGGACAAGGTGTGACATACTTGGAAGGGCAAGGTGTGACATACCTGGAAGAGCAATGTGTAACAGTGTGACATACCTTAAAGGGTAAGGTGTGACAGTGCGACATACCTGGAAGGGCAAGGTGTGACATACTTAGAAGGGCAAGGCGTGACAGTGTGACATACCTGGAAGAGCATGGTGTGACAGTGTGACATACCTGGAAGGGCAAGGTGTGACAGTGTGACATTCCTGGAAGGGCAAGGTGAGACAGTGTGACACACCTGGAAGGGCAAGTTGTGACAGTGTGACATATCTGGAAGGGCAAGGTGTGGCAGTGTGACATACCTGGAAGGGCAAGTTGTGACAGTGTGACATACCTGGAAGGGCAAGGTTTGACATACCTGGAAAGGCAAGGTGTGACAGTGTGACATACCTTAAAGGGCAATGTGTGACATACCTGGAAGAGCAAGGTTTGACATGACATACCTGGAAGGGCAAGGTGTGACATACCTTGAAGGGCAAGGTTTGACATACCTGGAAGGGCAAGGTGTGACATACCTGGAAGGGCAAGGTTTGACATACCTGGAAGGGCAAGGTGTGACATACCTGGAAGTCAAGGTTTGACATACCTGGAAGGGCAAGGTGTGACATACCTTGAAGGGCAAGGTGTGACATACCTGGAAGTCAAGGTTTGACATACCTGGAAGGGCAAGGTGTGACATACCTGGAAGGGCAAGGTGTGACATACCTGAAAGGGCAAGGTGTGACATACCTGGAAGGGCAAGGTTTGACATACCTGGAAGGGCAAGGTGTGACATACCTGGAAGGGCAAGGTGTGACATACCTGGAAGGGCAAGGTTTGACATACCTGGAAGGGCAAGGTGTGACATACCTGGAACGGCAGGGTGTGACATACCTGGAAGGGCAAGGTGTGACATACCTGGAAGGGCATGTCTGCCATCATCTTGGCCATGTAGTAAGCCTTGAGACTGTACCAGTAGTTGAGGTGCTCCCTCACAAACACTGTCATCTCTAGAGGGACTGTGTGAAAGAAGGAAAGAAAGGTCATTTCTACAGCTAATGTGAGAGAACATGTGAGAATATTTGCCATGAGGTGTGTGGGACATGTATTTATGTATGAGAATATTTGGTGTGAGGTGTGTGGGACATGTATTGACGTCTGACAATGGTTGAGATATGTGAACATAAACCTACATATGAGATGGTTGACAAATATGAACATCTGTTTACATGTGTCAGTCGCTGAGAAATTGAAAAATATACCTACAAGTAAACATTTTGAAAAATATGGAACTTTACCTACATCTGTAAGTGGTTGACATATGAAGTTTTACGGACAAATGCAAATGTTTGACAAATATCAATCTTTACTTATATCTGTAAATCAGTAACAAATATGAAAATTTACCTACATATGTGAATGGTTGACAAGTATGAAACATTATCTACATATGTGTATGGTTGACAAGTATAAACCTTTATCTACATATGTGAATGGTTGACAAGCATGAACCAATATCTACATATGTGATTGGTTGACAAGTATGAACCGTTATCTACATATGTGAATAGTTGACAAGTATGAACTGTTATTTACATAAATGAATGGTTGACAAGTATGAACCATTATCTACATATGTGAATGGTTGACAAGTATGAACCGTTATCTACATATGTGAATGTTTGACAAGTATGAAAAATTATCTACATATGTGAATGGTTGACAAGTATGAACTGTTATTTACATATGTAAATGGTTGACAAGTATGAACCGTTATCTACATATGTGAATGGTTGACAAGTATGAACTGTTATTTACATATATGAATGGTTGACAAGTATGAACCATTATCTACATATGTGAATGGTTGACAAGTATGAACCGTTATCTACATTTGTGAATGGTTGACAAGTGTGAAAAATTATCTACATATGTGAATGGTTGACAAGTATGAAACATTATCTACATATGTGAATGGCTGACAAGAATGAACCGCTATCTACATATGTGAATGGTTGACAAGTATGAAAAATTATCTACATATCTGAATGGTTGACAAGTATGAACCGTTATCTACATATGTGAATGGTTGACAAGTATGAACCATTATTTACATATGTGAATGGTTGACAAGTATGAACCATTATTTACATGTGTGAATGGTTGACAAGTATGAACCGTTATCTACATATGTGAATGGTTGACAAGTACGAACCATTATCTACATATGTAAATGGTTGACAAGTATGAACCGTTATCTACATATGTGAATGGTTGACAAGTATGAACCGTTATCTAAATATGTGAATGGTTGACAAGTATGAACCATTATCTACATATGTGAATGGTTGACAAGTATGAACCGTTATCTACATATGTAAATGGTTGACAAGTCTGGTAATCTGATAATCTGGTAATCCTAGTTTCAGCTTCATAGCAAACGGGTCACCCCACAGTTGCTCCGCTCCTGTGCCAACGAAAAACAAATGCAGCTCACAGTGTCACGCCATGCACTCAAGTCAGAAGCTGGGCGACGAAACTACATCCTTCCAGTCTACAAATGGAGCAAAAATGCCACGGCCACCGTCTGGCAGAGAAAAAAAAATACATTTGCCACGGCTTTAAAAAAAAAAGTGGCCATGCCTAGCGTCCATTTTGACCGGAAGCATTATATGAGGGTTAATAAATGGTCACCCCAGCAGTACCCTCATTATTAGCTGGGGAAGGGACTTAGGACATTACATCCACCAGCAGGCGTCACCCCTACAACGATCTGCCTGCCTTCTTTAACGACTGTTCACCAAACAGCCATGCAGTTCTTTGGCACTAAGGAGACACCTTGAACTTGGGTTTCAGACTGCCGACTCCCTACTAAGATGTTATTTTATGTTTTGTTATCACAATTGATGTCACTGCACATTGGGCATACCCATGCGTGCTCAGTTCTTCGAACCATTATCTACATATGGGAATGGTTGACAAGTATGAACCGTTATCTACATATGTGAATGGTTGACAAGTATGAAACATTATCTACATGTGTGAATGGTTGACAAGTATGAACCGTTATCTACATATGTGAATGGTTGACAAGTATGAAACATTATCTACATATGTGAATGGTTGACAAGTATGAAACATTATCTACATATGTGAATGGTTGACAAGTATGAAACATTATCTACATGTGTGAATGGTTGACAAGTATGAACCGTTATCTACATATGTGAATGGTTGACAAGTATGAAACTTTACCTACATCTATGAGTGGTTGACAAGTATGAACATTTACCTACATATATGAATGGTTGACAAGTATGAAACTTTACCTACATTTATGAGTGGTTGACAAGTATGAACATTGACCTACATATGTGAATGGCTGACAAATGTGAACCATTACTCACATGTGAGAACTGTGGGCATGAGGGCTGTGAACATCAAGAATAACATGCTCAAGAAGAGAAAACCTGCATTGTTGTACACTTTGCTGGCCTCATCACCGATGCCCAAATATAGCAAACCAATCAGGATGCCGACCCCTAGGTGGGACACCAGACGAAGGCGGGTCAGCATCTGGGTGGAAACAATTATTTCAATCATCATTTACAATTTAAGATAAAACTACCTTGCAAGACGTTACTAAATTATCAAACATGGGCTATCCTCCGAATAATGGGCACAAAAGATGGTGGCCGCCAAAACACCCTAACAGAGCCTCAGTCACATGTCATTTGCGCACTTCCGCATCTCCCGCAGCTTTGCTCGTGAGTCCTAGCCATCTAGTTTAGCCACAGTCCACAGGGGGCACTCTGGCACAGTAGTTAGGGCACTTGCTTTAAATGTTAGAGGTCAGTATAAAATCCTCAGGAGTGGCTGGATGAATCTTCCCCAAACCAGCTCAACTCGGAATCAAACCAGCTGCCTAAATAGGTTAGCAAATCAGTTTCAAAGAGACCTGCCCCTGATTGTCCCGCCTCATTATGACACTGTCCAGATTTCTGACCACTTGGGGAGTATTTCTTCAGGTGCCAGATATGGTGACAAGGAAGTTGAAATAAAAAAACCAGAAAACTAAAACAACAATTGGCCAAATTTATTGATCAGAATTGCTGATCAGATTTATTGATCAGATTCACTGATCAGATTTATTGATAAGATTTATTGACCCGCTAGTTTGTCCCCTCCTGACTGCTACTGACAGGTTTACTAGACCGACCTGACATTAAACAAAACTAGTCTGAATGGTAAACAAAGGAGAACCCAAACACCCTGTTCAACCTTCAAGAAGTATTAAGTATTAGTGTACCAGGCGTAACCTGCAGTCTGTGTGTAACGGACGTGAAAGATAACAGAAGACTAAAACAGATATTTGGCAGATTTAACTAAAAGACTAAAACAGATATATTGTCAGATTTAACTCCAGCCCAAACACAGAAATTTAGATGATTAATTGCACAATCATGACAAATGTTTTTTGCCAATCTCAGAAATGCTCACTGATCAACAGGGATCACAATATGTGAGATCAGGTGTCATGTTCACTGATCAACAGGGATCACAATATGTGAGATCAGGTGTCATGCTTACTGATCAACAAGGATCACAATATGTGAGATCAGGTGTCATGCTTACTGATCAACAAGGATTACAATATGTGAGATCAGGTGTCATGTTCACTGATCAACAAGGATCACAATATGTGAGATCAGGTGTCATGTTCACTGATCAACAAGGATTACAATATGTGAGATCAGGTGTCATGCTTACTGATCAACAAGGATCACAATATGTGAGATCAGGTGTCATGTTCACTGATCAACAGGGATCACAATATGTGAGATCAGGTGTCATGCTCACTGATCAACAAGGATCACAATATGTGAGATCAGGTGTCATGCTCACTGATCAACAAGGATCACAATATGTGAGATCAGGTGTCATGCTCACTGATCAACAAGGATCACAATATGTGAGATCAGGTGTCATGTTCACTGATCAACAGGGATCACAATATGTGAGATCAGGTGTCATGCTTACTGATCAACAGGGATCACAATATGTGAGATCAGGTGTCATGCTCACTGATCAACAGGGATCACAATATGTGAGATCAGGTGTCATGCTCACTGATCAACAGGGATCACAATATGTGAGATCAGGTGTCATGCTCACTGATCAACAGGGATCACAATATGTGAGATCAGGTGTCATGCTCACTGATCAACAGGGATCACAATATGTGAGATCAGGTGTCATGCTCACTGATCAACAAGGGATCACAATATGTGAGATCAGGTGTCATGCTCACTGATCAACAAGGATCACAATATGTGAGATCAGGTGTCATGCTCACTGATCAACAAGGATCACAATATGTGAGATCAGGTGTCATGCTCACTGATCAACAGGGATCACAATATGTGAGATCAGGTGTCATGCTCACTGATCAAC